GGTGCTTTAGACCACTGAGCCATCTCACCAGCCCTTTTTTTTTTTTTTTTTTAATTTTTTATTTGTGTGTGTGTGTGTGGCCAGCTCAGCCCAGTAGGGGGCGGGGCTGGCTGGTAAAGCAGTTTTTGAATGAAAACAAAATTCTGCCTTTGAAGAATAATAGAAATCAGTAGAGTGGGTTACTGTTATTAATTACATAAATCTAGTTTGGAGACTAAACTGTATATTAAAACTTAGGCTGAAATGCTCTTCAGTGAGTGAGGGAACATAACAGTGATCCTCCTCTTTATTTTAGAAAGGATCACAAGCAGTAGAAATAGAAACATTTCTTTCTAAATTATAGAATTTTTGGTCTAGTTTGCATAGTTACCCTATAAAATGATGTGGCAGAGTATACCTTTAATTAGGATCGTGTTTGCTTTTAAAATTACGGCTTTAGCCTTTTACTAGTAAAACTTTGTATGTCTATATAGCAAATACATAATTACTAATACCATTTAAGAAAAAATGGTATTAGTTTATACTCTAGATAGCTTCAGTCATTTTCCATGTTTAAATGTGAAATGTAGAATTCGTGTTCTACATGACACATAGCAAACTTCTGAGTGGATTCATACATTAAGGAATTCAATCTAATTATTAGATATGCTTCCATAAATAAGTTGTTTAGCTTTTCTAAGCCTGTGTCATACAAGTAAAATAAAGATTTGATTTGTTTAAGTGATTTATTAAAATAACATTCTCATTTAGTAGTTTTATAATACAGCAGCATAAAATACTGTTGCCTGCTTAGAGAAACATTAATAAAAAAATTTATACTTCAAGTTCTGTGTATACTCCTCGTGAGTGCATGCCTGCATGTGCATATTACTGGGAGTTGCATCCAGTGCTACATTCCCAATCTTTTTGAGTCAGTCTCTTACTAGGAGACCCAAGTTGGGCTTGTACTTGGGGTACTTCCACACTATCCTTCTAAAGGGGTGGGATTAAGTCTCAGAAAAAATGAAAAATGCAGATTGAGACACTGCCATTCTGAATCCCAGAGGAGTAGAAAATAGTGAAAAGTAAAGATAGATTATTTTTGGTACTGGGGCTTTTTTTAAACACTAAACTGCATCCCTGCCTCTCCCCACTTTTTGAGACAGGGTTTGAATTTGTAATTCTGCAGTCTCAACTTCTCAGAGTTTTGAGATTACAAGGCATCTACTGCTTCCACACTTGGCAGGTTTATGTTTGTGAAGCTGTGCTGTTTTGTTTTATTTTTTCAGTTACTACTTTATTTCTTCTCATGGTTTTCTCACTATTATTAAATATTTTTGATGTATGATATTTAAAGAGTGGATTCTAAAAAGAAAGTAATGAAAAAAATTGTTATTTCTACTAGGAAAATTACAAGATGTTTCTTTCACTGAGTTTTCATAAGCTTGAAAGTTACCAATGTAAAAAGCAAAACACACCAGGCTTGGTGGCACACACCTGTAATCCAAGCACTGGGGAGGCTGAAGGAGGAGGATCAGTATGAATTCGAGACCAGCCTGGGCTACAAAGTGAGCTCAAGGCCAGCCTGAAGTGAATGAGACCCAAAAAAAAACAAAACAAAAAAACAAAGAATTAATGAATCAAAAAGGTGGTTCTTTGAAAGATTGAATAAAATTGGTAAGCCCCTAGCTAACCTTATCAAAAAGAGGAAAGAAAAAACAAAGAGGAATGAAAAAAAAAAAAGAAGAGAGACCCTATCTCAAAAAGCAGGGGGAGTGCACTGTAGTGAAAATTAAGCTCAGAATCTAAGAGTCTTAGCTGAGTAACTGCACATCATTTCACTTTTGGACCCTGATCTTTCCTTTTTTTTTGACCTTTCATTTTAAATCAGAGTGCTGATCTAGCACATAACATACATACTTTCAGATTACCAGGAAGAGTAGTGAGTATAGGAAAATTTAAATTTATTTATTTTTGGCGGTGCCAGGGATTGAACTCAGGCCCTTGTGCTTGCCAGGGAAGCACTTATTCCACTGAGCCATCTCCCCTGCCTTTAAATTTATCATTCTGTCCTCACACTTCCCACAGTTTGTTGATGCCTCTTTTCTTTTTTTCCCTCCCACCCTCCCTCCCTCCTTTGTTTTAGGTATTGAACATTTGCATAGAGCTACATCCCCAACCATTTTTACTTTGAAGCAGGGTCTTGCTGAATTGCCCAGGCTGACTCCAAACTCAGCCTCCTGTCTCACCCTCCCAAGTAGCTGAGATTATAGTTGTACCACCAAGGAAATTGCAGGCATGATAATCCTTACAAATATATCAGTGTATATTCCTAAAAGTAAAGATAGGCTTTCATATATTTATAATGCCAAAGATAGGACATTAATTTTGCTAGAGTACTATCAGTTCATCCACCATTTTTCAAATGTAGCTGTTTCACTGATAACCTTCATAAAAGAACAAGGGTATGTTGGTTAATTGATTTGAAAGCCTGTTATCCACTTGACCAAGATCTTTAGACAATTACATATTACATGTACTTTTCATGATTCTTCAGTCTTTGTAGTAGTTGAGATTTTTATTTGAAGAATATAAATCCACTGTTGAAAGCATATTATAAATTTGGTTTTGAAGCTTATTCAGTTAATTTTTTCAATTTTATAATTGTGCCTATGAATTAGTCTTTAGGCATCAGGAGTTTGTTGGAAGCTGATGGAATAGTCAAAGAATATCTGGACAAAGGAGACATGGTGAATATTGATAGGAATTTAGAAAGTACTAAATAAAATTGGTTAATCATTTCTTGGGAGTGTTTTGAATGTGGTGTTGAGAGTTTAGTGCATTAAGGATAAGAGTAAGCCTAATGATTAAAGGTAAGCAGTGATACAGAGATAACTAGAGTATATATGGGGGGTAGACAATAACTATGGTAGTACTAGGATGTTTGAGAAATAGATTTGAACTAATGGCTTGAAAATGGAAGATTTGACATTAACTCTAGTAGAATGCTATCTAGTTTTACCACATCATTAAGTCTTCTGAAATGAACATTGTAATATGTATAGAAATGACTTAGAATGATGATCTGAATACTCCTACTTCACAGAGGAAGGATGGTAAAGAAAGCCCAGGAACAATGTAAGGAGTTATAAAGCTACAATTAAAGTAGGAATATTTAGAGCCAGACATGATGGCTCATGCCCATAGTCCCAGCACTTGGGGGGCTACACAGTAAGTTCAAAATCATCCTCAATGACATAACAAGACCCACTCTCCAGCCAGGGATATAGTTCAGTGGCACAAGTGCTTGCTTGGCAAGTGTGAGGTCCTGAATTTGAATTCCCAGTACCAAAAAAAAAAAAAGAAAAAGAAAAAGAAAGAAAGAAATAAGACTCAAGTCTTGCGCCCTTTCCCCCCGATAAAAATATTTGGGAAAGTTATGCTAATTGCCTTTTTAAAGAAACAAATGGGCTGGAATTTAGACAATTTAAACATTGTTATGAAATGTTCATATGAAGCTGTATAAACTAGTAATGGGTGCTGGAAGGATGACAGTGATAAAAGTTGAGACAGTATTGAAACCCTGAACTCTTGTCATATTTTGAATATTTAATTGAAATAGTTACATTGAACTGAAACATGAGAATTTGTGTTAGTGATTTTAGTGTATAAGATGAATGTTAAATGATATACGTTTAAAATAAGGTACTCTTGGAATGAAACAACGGGTAAATGTTTATGTTGTTGTCCAGTTGTCATTCCATAAATGTTTATCCACTGCCTCTCCGGTATGGTAGGCATTAGGTATCAATGAAGTAGGTGAATGTAATTTGATAGCTCTTAATTTGGAGAAAGGTCTATGGATTCAAATAAACACAGTATTCTGTAGAATGGAAAGGTGGATGGAGAAAAAGATGAAGGTGGGGAATAGGGACAGTGCTAAAGAAGAGTGCTCTAGCCTGAATCCCACTAGGTTTAAAACTCTTTTTAACTGCTCCTTGTCTTTGTGATGCCTCTTGGCCTTCAACCTCCCTGGATGGCTTTGCACTGACAGTGTGTCCTTTGGGTCATCTCTGCTGTGCCTGGACTGACTGCATAGCAGTGGTCTGTGTGGAGTTGGTATATATGAGAAAGCTGATAGTGTATTTTGTTTTTCTGAACTAATCTGTATTTTACAATGTTCTTTACATTTTTCTTTTTTAAAAGGACACTGTCAAGTACTTTTAAAATGTTATAACAAAAATAATTTCCTGCTGTATTTTTGTTTCTTTTGACTGCCCTTTAATTTCCTTTTGTAAAATGATAGGTAGTTCTTGTTCATTTATATTAAATGGTTAAGGTGCTTGGCATAATTCCTGTTTATATCTACTATTATCTACCAAAAAATAGCATTTTGTGGAGAGTATTTTTAATAAAAATATTTAAATTATCTGTTGTGTAATACTGTGGGGCTTTTTCGTCTTAAAAGCTTCAAAAGTTATTTAATGAGTTAATTAAATAATTTGTCTTTAGAAGTATAGACTATTTTTAATAAATTTCCCCCAAAAGTACAGGTTTAATGATCGATGTTATTCCATTAACACTAAATGAATTTCAGTCAACAAAAGTTTCAGTGGCTTAAAGTCACTTGTTATGTGACTGAAAGTCTTTTGTTAAAAAAGCTTTTCAGATCCTTTTGGCGGAGCCGGGGATTGAACTCAGGCCCTTATGCTTGCCAGGCAAGCTCTTATTCTACTGAGCCATCGCCCCAGCCCTTCAGATCCTGATATTGCAGTGAATGCATATGACATTAGCTCTTAGAGTTAAAGCTGCTCAGATCAACTACAGGTTTATTTTATGATGTTTCTAATTTTTTTCATATATCTATTAGGTATATATATGAGATTTTTCCCTTCTCAAGTTTAATTTCCTGTCATTAGGAATTGGGGGGGTATGTCATTGACTAAACTTATAATTCAGGTAACTTTTATTTGAGAAGCAACTTTGCCAGAACATTGCTGACCACTGCTGCTTTATTGTAGGAGGACTGACAAATGGTAGTGGTCGATATATCTCTGCAGCACCAGGAGCAGAAGCAAAATACCGAAGTGCTTCAGGCACTTCCAGTCTGTTTAGCTCCAGCAGCCAGCTCTTTCCTCCTTCTCGGCTTCGATACAATAGGTCCGATATTATGCCTTCTGGCCGCAGTAGGTTATTGGAAGATTTCAGAAACAACCGCTTCCCAAATCTTCAGCTTAGAGACTTGATTGGACACATAGTCGAATTTTCCCAAGACCAGCATGGCTCTAGGTAGGTGACTGTGACTGGTAACTTCCGCTGCATGTCTTCTTCGAAACTTGCTAGGGAATAAAAGTCTCCATTTTTTTTTTGTCTAGACACAGCTAATTGGCATAAGTGCAGGAAGCTTTTAAAAAGTATGAATTAGATACTTTTTTATATTGGGAGACATTATAAAAGTATAGGTTAAACTTTTGTTGCTCTTCATAGTTTAGTGTTAAGTGTGACTTGGTTTAAGTTGAAATATTACATACTTGTTATTTGATACATTGTTATTAAACATGTTTGATAGAATGCTTGACATTTGTGTGAATTAGCATTTTCAAGATAGACTTTAAAAAAGAAAATAATTCTACATATTACAGTTTTCTCCTTTGTAAAGTTTTTAGATTATTTAGACTATGTAGTTGTGTACACATTTTATCTCCCTATAGCTTAAAGTTCTTAGTAGTTGCAAATGAACTTTGTATCAGCTGTAGTAGCTAGTTTAGCAATTTCTTTTTGAGGAACTTTATTTCTAAGGGTTTCTTTTATTGTATTGTAAAAATAGATATTTAGTAGTCTGTGTCTTTTGAAAAAGAATAACCAACAACATCTAGTTGCTTATTCATTAATTAGAACTAACCCAAGAAAGATAAAGTATCTTTATGTACAGATTTTTTGTTAACTGAACTATTTTATAAAGCAAGCTTCATAACTATTGCCATAGTGTAAATCAGCTGTCCACAGTGTTTATAAGTTGTGTTTATATTCTGATATGTACATATAGGAGAGAGAATGATACGAAGTAAATACAGATTTAATAGCGCTTCAGCAAATTGTTATGACATTTAAACTTTTATCCCTCATAGATTCATACAACAGAAACTAGAGAGAGCTACTCCAGCTGAGCGACAGATGGTATTTAATGAAATTCTACAGGCAGCCTATCAACTAATGACAGATGTATTTGGCAACTACGTCATACAGAAATTTTTTGAGGTAAGCACACATATGTATTTGAGTATTTATCTTGTTACATACTTAATGCTGAGAAAAGCTCTAGAAGTTGGGTTACTTATTTTCATATAAAATATAAAAGACTGCGAGAAAATATTTGTACACCATGTATGTAATAAAGATTGTATATCTAGAAAATATAGAGAAGTCCTGAGACTATAGACAACCCAGTTTAAAAATGGGTAAATGATTTAAATTGCCATTTATTTGTAGAAGATAATTTAAGTGACTGATAAACCATGAAAAGATACCGAACATTCTGTATATACTGAGCAAATGCAAATCAGAACTACAATAATTCTGTGTTATTCCTAATAAGGATGACTATGGTTTTTTTAAAAAAGTAAAATAATGAGTATGGAGAAATGAGAATTTTCATGTATTGCTGATGGGTATATAAAATGTAGTTGCTGTGATAACAGTTTGGTTGTTTCTTTAAAAATTAAAGAACTATCAACCTAGCAACAATTCCACTAAGTTTATTCAAAGCATTTACTGAAAATGTAATACCCAAAAGAATTAAAAAATAGGGACTGGGACACCAGTTTTCTTTGTACCGTTCTTTAACCAAAAGTTAGAAAATAACCCAGGTGTCCATCAGCAGATCAGTGGATAAACTACATATGTCATGTGTATAAAAACAATATTCATCATAAAACTTTAGGAATGAGATTCTGGCATATACTACAAAATGGATATACCTTGAAAAACAACATAAAGCTAAGTGAACTAAACCAGCCACAAGAGTACAAACATAGTGTTTCACTTAAATGTCTACAACAGCACATTCATAGAAACAAGATGGATAAGGTTTATTGAGCTGAGAGAGATTAAGGAAATATGGGAAGTTGTTGAGTGGGTATAGCATTTGTTTGAAGCCGTGCAAGAGATTTGGAACAATTGTTAATACAGCTGAATTATACACTTAAAAATGGCATATTTTGTTGTTCATATATGTATGTTTTATCACAGCCTTAAATTTACATATACGAATGTACTTTTAAAAGCTTGGTACTGACCCTAATTAATATCTAAAAATATAAAGCATTAGGAGTAAGACTTAGGTAAATCAGTTAATACTCTTGTCTTTGTAAGTATGTTTCCTTTAGTAATTCAGCCACTTTTAGTTCATACCTACACTTCTGTGTAGTGGCTTGATTTAACAAGTCTCTTTTTCTCAGTTATTTCAGAATACAGATAGAGAATTATCGGGATAAGAGTTTTAATGGTCTGAATGTATGGCTCAGTGTTCATGTATTTAAAGGTGATTATTTTTTTTTTTTTACAGGAATGAAGATAGTAAAAGAATGTTTAGGGGCCTGCCAGTTAGTTCAGTTGTTTAAGCACCTGCTTATGCAAACGTAGTCAGGCACAGAATACCGCAGTTCAATCCCCAGCTCCACCTGTCTTAACCAGACCCGCCCATAAGGCAGCCTGAGACAATCAAAAAAAAAGAAGAATTTTTAAAAGGTGGTTAATGTAATAAGGAAATTTTAGGTAATATGATTTAATCCCCCAAAATTAAATAATTGTCATTAAAAGCTTTTTTTTTTTTTTTTTTTTTTTTTTTTTTTTTTTTTTTTTTTTTTTGTGGAACCGGGGATTGAACTAAGGCCCTTGTACTTGCCAGGCAAGTACTTATTCTACTGAGCTAACTCCCCGGCCCCCTATAAGCATCTCTGAATCTCTTAATTAGCTTCTACTTTTATGCTTTCTATAATTGTCAAGCATAATATTTGAAAAACAATACATTTATGAAACTGTCAAGAGTGTCTTTCAAGGGTCCTGAGTTCAATCCCCGGTACTGCCAAAAAAAAAGTGTCTTTCAAGTTTAACAGAATAATTACTACTTTTTTTTTTTCTCCAAAATTTTATTGATAAACAGTAATGAGACAGTTTTAGATCAAATCGGAAGTACAGTTTCAACAAATAACACACTACATATGTTCTTCTTAGTGGTTAATTGCTGTACAAGATGCGGACTTGAGATCCTATTTACAAACACCATTAGAACAAATCATTCTATTCATTAAGAGAATGCAACTATATATCTATCCTAACTACTTTGAATACACAGATACAAAATGGACATTCATCTGTATACCCTATTTTTTCTAAGTTCCGTTATTGAATATTATAGGTGTGTAAACTCAGCAAAATATTCCAAAAGAGTCCAGTAGACTATAATAGCATTGGGTCTTCTGTTTAACTGGCAATGTCAGAAATTATTGACCTGAGTCCCCCACAGCTCAACATAACAGCATGGCTTTACTAATAATTGTTACTTTTTATATTTCTTTCCTTTCAGTTTGGAAGCTTGGATCAAAAATTAGCCCTGGCTACTCGTATTCGTGGTCATGTTCTGCCTTTAGCCTTGCAGATGTATGGCTGTCGGGTTATTCAGAAAGCATTAGAGTCTATTTCTTCTGACCAGCAGGTAATTGTAAGTTAAGAAAAAATTTTGTTATTTTATCTTAAAAGTTACAGAGTTGTCTTTTGATCTGTCCTTTAGTTCCCTTTTATATCTTTCCATCTCTCACTGAAGGTATTTCTGAGTGCCCACTTTATGGTAGGCAGGGTGCAGGGTGGTGCATGCTTCTGTCATTCTCTTACTTGATTTTCTAAAGTGTCAGAATGGATTTTACTATTTCTCTTGATCATTTTCTTAAAAGTTTAACTGTAAAGAAAAGTAATCTAGTCCTTTTAATAAGATTCATAATTCTTTGAGAGAGAAGATAGAACACATCAATTGGGAATTACATTGTATTCTTAGATAGAAAAGTCTTAAATGTCTTAGTTCATAATTAGTGCAATTCCAGTCATGTACTCATGGGACTCTTCGTAATTTAAAAAATATTAGCATGAAATATAATTATAGCATATTCTTAATTCATGTGAGCTATAACAATGAAAAACATAGTAAGAAATTTTTCATAAAAGGCATTGGAAATAAATTTAGATGTGTTGTTTTTGACCCTCATAGTAAAATTCCAGAACTAAGAATGGTAGTGTATAGTTTAGTACATGCAGTGTGTATGTATGCATGGATATGCATTAATGACATCTTTAAATATCTACAATCAAGCTGTGATTTCTGTGGGGAAACTGAGTTCTAGACTAATTGAAGATATATCTCAAAGGAGAATACCAGCACGTTTGATATAAAAGCTTAGAACTTTTCTCCCACAAGACTCAAACTGATGAAGATATTTTACATAATCTGGTTTGTTACATTTGTAAATGTAATGCATTGGAAGACAGTCTTATGTGACAAGTTAATGAATAATGGTATTATATTCTTTGGATTCTTCAGTTCGTTGTATTTTGTAATTGAGTCCACTTTAAACCTAAGCATCTGTTTTATGCTGTCCGAACAGGACATCCTCTTCCACAGTTATGTAGGAAGGTAGGTGAGAGTTCTTTGAAAGAATTTTGGTTTTGTTAATTTCTCTTTTGTTTTGTTGTTGCATGAGAGGCATTTTGAATGTGGCTATGTTTAGTCACTAAGTACCCTCCATTCCTCCACAGTATTGTTCTGTTGCCCAAGTAAGGCACTAAGCACATAGGTTATTGTATCAGTGATAGAGAAAAATTGGCTAGGTGTGATGACATATGCCTATAATCCCAGCAGTGTGGAGGTTGAGGCAGGAGGATTATGACAAGTTCAAGGCCACCTTGGACTATATACCAAGACTGTGTTTCACAACAGTAAAACAGGAAAAACCACACACACAAGAATGATAAATAGGGACCGGGGAGATGGATTAGTGGAATAAGCACTTCCTTGGCAAGTACAAGGGCCTGAGTTCAATCCCCGGTTCTGCAAAAAAAAAAAAAAAAGAATGATACAGACTGTGAAATAAAAGTATAATTGAGATTTCAGCTGAGAATTAGTGAGATGTTTGGTGATGGTAGTTTAAGTATGACCAATTCAACATTGTGAGGTTTTATTTCAACGTGTATGAACAACAGCATAATGAAGTATGCTTTAGTAATTCTTACTTCAGTGGTTTCTACTAACTATATACTTCAGAGAAAAGTTTTCAAATGTTTCACTTATTTTTTAAAAAATTACAAAATATTAGCATCCTTTTGTTCACATCTTAAGTCTTTTAAATTCTATTTTGTTATTTCATAAGGAGGTTAATTGGCATTTTCTTTCCAGAGTGAAATGGTAAAGGAGCTTGATGGTCATGTTCTCAAATGTGTAAAAGATCAGAATGGAAACCATGTTGTGCAGAAATGTATTGAATGTGTTCAGCCACAGTCGCTACAGTTCATCATTGATGCTTTCAAAGGACAAGTAAGATTTACTTCTGGCCTCTTGATTTCTCAGCAGGGTGTTAACTTTAGAATTTAATGATACACATTTTTTTTAGTCACAAGGTAAAACCAGCATCTACATATTTTTAATGCCTAGCATCTGACATAAAAATAGGAGACAAGAGTAGTCATTAGATAGCTTTATTCTTTTTTAAACTGAAAAACAGAAATAGGAATTCAGTCATTATTTTAAGAAAATAATCACTTCCATATTTCCTGAGGGAGGGAAAGGAAGAAGGCTTAAAACTATATTAAAAAGAAAGAAAATATATTCCAGTTAGCTAATTTGTAATAACTAACGTTTCTTAATTAAAGTGCTATACTACCCTTTACACCCATTCATTTCCTTATTATATATCCTTAAATTTTATGATTAGGTTCCTTTAGATCAAAATATGTATAGCTCTTATGCTGAAAATGGCATTTTACCCCATACCTACTTCGCAGTCTTTGCTAACATGGTACTAGTGGTATTCATGTGAACCCACCATCCTTCTATCTTAAACTAACTCAGCCTGTCATCACAGACCTATTAGCTATGCCAACCTTGGTGACACAGGCCTGTAATCCCAGAACTCATAAGGTGGAAAAAGGAGGATCACTATTAATTCAAGGCCAGTCTGAACTGCATAGTGATATCCTGTCTCAAAAAAAAAAAAAGATGACCTTAAGAAACAGTTCAGAAATAGCATAAAATGTAAGTTTAATTTTTCTGTTTGTTTCAAGGTATTTGTGCTTTCAACTCATCCTTACGGTTGCAGAGTAATTCAGCGTATCCTAGAGCATTGCACTGCAGAACAGACTTTGCCTATCTTAGAAGAACTTCACCAACATACTGAGCAGTTGGTACAGGTATGAGTCCTCTTATCATTTGAAGTGTTTATGCGGTTTTGGGTTGCTTCAGTTTTTAATAGAAATAAAACTTAATATCTAGCTGACAGAAAAGTTTATACTCAAAAAATAAAACTGCTGGGTCTTTAGACAAATGTTTAATACCTTTTTAAAGCATAATCAATATTCTTTAGGAATGACTGATGGAAAATATCTATCCATAGGATCAATATGGCAATTATGTTATTCAGCATGTACTGGAACATGGTCGACCTGAAGACAAGAGCAAAATTGTTTCTGAAATCAGAGGAAAGGTCTTAGCCCTGAGTCAACACAAATTTGCCAGGTATTGCACTATCTTCTGATTCTGGTAGTCAGTTCTGAACTTCTGTGTGAGCAGAAAAAAACGTAATGTATAGTACTGAAGTTTAATCTTTCTGGTGACATTAAAAGCACATGTAGCTGGCTTGGTAGTGCACACCTTTGGTTCTAGCTACTCAGGAAGCTGAAGTGTGGAAACCATGGGATGGCTTGGTCCAGTGAGTTAAGACAGCAAGACGCAATCTCTCCCACACATACACACACTACGAGAGAGAGAGAGAGAGAGAGAGAGAGAGAGAGAGAGAGAGAGAGAATACAGTCAGTATCAATTAGTTTTGTCCACATTCATTGCATTTTTCATGTGCTTAGAATTAATACTGGATCCCAAAGCAGTTAAGAAATGCAAACGAATTTTGTACCCATTTTCCTTTTTTTGAATTAGAATTTTGATAGACTGATAGTCAAAATATGGTTGTCCTGTATACCAGTTCTTGTTTTAAGAGAAATTGTAAACCAAGGCACTCCCATTTTAACTCCAATTTTCTAATAAATTGGAGTAAGTTCTTTGAAAAATAAATTTTGTTAGAAAGAAATAACAAAGATTTTGTGTATGTACTTTAATTTTTTTTAGCAATGTAGTAGAAAAGTGTGTTACTCATGCCTCCCGTGCTGAGAGAGCGTTACTGATTGATGAAGTTTGCTGCCAGAATGATGGTCCTCACAGTGCCTTATACACCATGATGAAGGATCAGTACGCCAATTATGTGGTTCAGAAGATGATTGATATGGCTGAGCCTGCTCAAAGAAAGATAATCATGCATAAGGTAATGACAGTGCCACCACTCAAATACCAGAATATGAACTTTTTTTCTGTCCATTTTAAGGTATTTGTGCTTTCAGCCCATCTGCATATAATTTTTGCCATATGTTTAACTTCATTTGATACTAATTTCCTAATGTGTTGTAACTGGAGGAAAAAAATCCTATGGGTAACACTTAACCATATTACTTTTTTTAAAAATTTTTGTTAATCTGAGAAAATCACATTGATATCTCTTTACCTGTGTTCCATAGGTATTTTGGATTTGTTATAGCTTATGAAAGGAACATTGATTTTTAAATTCAGATTTTCCCACTAAACTTTTCTGTCTTCCCCTCCCTCCCTCTCTTCCTCCCTTCCTTCTCCTCTCCCTCCCCCCCCCAGCTCTCATTGTGGTCCTCCTGTTGTTAGCCTCCCCAGTGCTGGATTACAGGCATACGCCATCACGCCCGAGGCTATGCCAGAGCCACATGTGCCAGGGATCAAACCCCAGTTTCTGTACTAGCCTAAGCAGGCACTTAGTCCTCTGAGCTATCTCATTGGCCCTTCTAACATGTTTTTCTGGTGAAAATTTTGTACTGATTTTTTTTTTTTTTAATATGAAATGGCACCTAATATTTTCCATCAGTCTGTTTTTCTCCTAGAGTATCATGATTCTTTTAAGAAATTATTATCTTAGGAGAATTTAGGGTTAAGGCTGAGCCAGGTATGGTGGTGCATGCCTGTAATTCCAGCACTTGGGAGGCTGAGGCAGGAAGATTGCTGTGAGTTCAAGACCAGACTGAACTGGATAGCAGACCCTGTCTCAAAAAAGAAGGCTGAAAGAAATAATACTCACTTTGTATCTTTTCTAAATTTATTCGTAAAGGTGCAAAGTATATGATCTCTTTGATTTCTCATATGGAGAAAACCTCTTACAAATTCTTCCTGCCCTAAGTGTTTGGCAGCAGTCAGTAGGTAGCTGGCTTATATTAATTAATAGCTCTTACTGCAGCATGGTTTTTTAAAATTAACCCTTGATCTTGGTATGTTAATTTTCTATTTTTTAACTCAATGTTTGTTATTATATGTAAAATTTTGTCTTAGTTTTGATAGCTATATTAGTTATTGAACCAGTGTCATGTTCATCACATTTAAGTTGCTGTTTTATTATTTTAGATAGTTCTAAAGTGTTTGCCTGTTTTGATAATGGACTCCTAAATGTGGAGTTTCTTGGTCAAAGTTTATAAACGTGACCTTTACTCAGTACTGCCAAATTGCTCTCAAGGTATCTTCTACGAATGTGTACATCTATCCAGTATGTGAGAACAGTGAGAGTACCATAAAGTGACATATTTTACCATAGCTGTATAAGTGATGCCAGCTATCTGTCTTTATCAGAACCTTGCCAGTTTGGAAGGAACCATAAAAATAGGCTTTTTGAAGAATCCTTTGTTTGTTTGTTTGTTTGTTTGTTTTCTTTTTGTGGTACCGGGGATTGAACTCAGGACCCTGCACTTGTCAGGCAAGTGCCTACTCTACTGAGCTATCTCCCCAGGTCCCAAGAATCCTATTCTTGTGGTTCTTTTGTTATTTTTAGAGTTTTTCTGTTTGCTGTAGTGGTTTATTTATTCATTGACCAATTTTGAGCATAAAATTTTGGTGAGGTTA